CCGATTTTGGTTAATACTTAATTTCCTTGTGCGAATGAATAAAACAAAGCTTCCCGAGCGGTACGGTTCGCAATAAAGAAAACGAATGTTTTAAAATAAAAGAATGGCTCCACCAGTAAATTTTCAAGAAAGCCCATTCTAGGGCGCAATTCTCTCAAGACTTTCAACGCCGTCAGCGAAAAGGAGAATTCTTATCGCGGATGCGGGTTCTTTCTCTTCGAGAGTTTCCAGAGTGTTCCGAGTCCGTACGACGAACGCAACCGCGGTCTCCCAGGACTCCTGACCCAACTGTGACTAGACCTTGTTTATATTTCAACTTTTAAAAGCGGAATTTATCCGTCTCACGTCCTTCGCGGTTAAGCTCCAAAGAAAGGAAGAATAATTGCCCGAATATTAAAAAAAAACTCCCTTTCCTCCGATTAATTCATATTAAAATACCTATCTGCGAATTGCAAAAAATTGCAACCAAGCACTAATAGTTGTACAAATTTTCAAATGCCAGATTAAATTTAATTCTATTTAATGTATGATGTACTGACGTATTATTTTCGAGTTTTTTAATTAATTCATAATGGATTAAATATATTTAAAATGAAAGACTTTCGCTATTATAAAATTTTGAATAAATAATGCCGGTTAAATAATCCAATTTTGAATCATAATTAAAATTGGTAATTTACCAGGAAATATATTTCGTGAAATATTTCATACAGGGAAGGCAAATATCATCAAACAAATTATATTTACTATTGTGCAATAAATATTTATTTTCTGTAAATTTGAATTGTGAAAAGGAGCGATCTAAATATTTACCTATAATGGTTTTTACCTGCTTTTTACATTTTTGTTTCCTATTTTCACATAATCTTTTATACTTTTCGACTTCGATACTAAAAATTCAACTTGCAAGCTTCACGAATCTCCTCATCATTCATCTAAAAGGGGTTCGATTATCGAAATTTAATATTTTATTCGTTTGACAATATACGCATTCAGTAAATAGCGCCAACCGAAATTTCGAATTTTCCATTTACTCTGTTTATGAACTATTTTCTATTTGGTAGGAATACAATCCGACACACTCATGAATTTTGACAGCGTTTAGGGCATTTATCGTACAATTGAATTAATTGAGTTGTTTCGTTTTATACCTAAATGCAGTATCCCATTTGCGCTCGCTGGTGATAATCGTTTTTCTGCTTTTTTTTTATTCAACGCGTATCGTTCGAACGGTTACAATTTGTCATAAAATTCGCAAAACGAACGCTATAAGTGTATTAAAAAAAAAGAGAGAAATTTGGGTTACGTTCAGTGACTACTGTTTAACGTCGCAGTGAAGCTGGAACTATTTTATTCTAATTGATTCGTTATATTCGTTGTTTTTTAATGGTTTCTGAGTGAAAAATCAATAGACTCACTTAATAGAGTTGCAAAGTTATTTTCTAATACAACTTTTTACATTATCCCGCTTTGTATGGTTTTAGGATAACTAAAATCTGGCTTAATATGTAAGATTTTTGTATATAACGGGACATAAAGAAACTCCGATAGGTCTCATAAAAATTTCATTTCCTTGAAAAGTGTAACAAGAAAATAAATTACGTGGAATCTATCCACATACGTAATCGATTGAAAATCAACCCTTAGAAGCGGGTATATCATCCTTCACGACGATTTTTCGCAGAGTCATCATTATCCATTCTTTCATTTAGGGTACGTGATAGGCGAAAAATTCTAACGATTTATCGGAAAATTCAAATTTTGTAGCATTTTTTTTGATATGCCTTTAAGTTCACAAATTGCGAATTTGGGAAATTGTTGTGAAATTGTTAATTTAATATTTTGTCGAAGATATTTTTTTTTAGGAAGAGCCTTCAATTTTTGTAAAATTTATGTTAAATCTATAAACTGGTTAAACTTATCAGTACCTACGACGGTATTGCTTGCATTTTACGTATAACAATATTGTCGAGAGTATTATAATATCAAAGCCAATGAGAAAATAAAAGATGATTGTACATGATTTTTCGAATGTAAAAGGTTACATTTAGAGATATGTGCATTCGAACTATTTACGGAATAGAAGTAGATTGTACATATTTTATACGATAAATATTTTGCTGCACGACCTCTACTATCAATCCAATTCGTTGGAAAAGAGCCTTGATAAAACTTTAGCCGAGTACTTTATGGAAATGCAAAGTCAGTGTAAATTTGAACTTTGTTTGATTGACTGCGATGAAACGGTACGGAAGAGTATTTTCTAGTTTGCAACCCGCATAAATTTTTAATTGCCTTTTAATGTATTTTCTCTACCTAATTTCGGGGTCACCGTTTTATTGAAATTCCTAAGCTGTATCGATTAATCGCCTCCATTGTTTCCGCTCGCTACTAATCGATCACAAAAATATACAAGTTAAATTAGTGCTAATAAATCAACTTGCTACACTAAAACGAAGAATCGGTGACTTATTAAAAAACTTCGAGAGTAAAATGAAACTCCTTCGGTTCATTTTTATGATACTTTTCAATCGTTACGCGTTTTACTCTACCTACCCTACGTCTGCAATTAACCGTTCAGTAGGTACTTTACGAGCGGGTAAAAAATTCACCCTACTATTTTAGAGATATTCTCTGGAGCACTCGAACGACACCGTCGCGTTCTTTAACTTTTTATGTGAAAAATACACGCACTATCGAGATAAATATCTTTCTGTCACTACCCATTGATCAATAGTTTCTTTTGGGCGTTTCCAGGGCGACCGATACCTTTGGCAATTTCACATCACTTGACCTTTAAACGCAATAAATCCCTACGTAGGTAAATAACCGGATTTCGGTACAGAAATAAAATGGAAAGCCTAATTTAATGATACAATTTCCAAAGGAATTGGGGAAAATTCTACTCGTACTATCCGGATGTCCAAGTTAGGTATATATTAATTATTGACGATTATTGTAAGCTAACTATAATTCAATCATTTCTGTAGGAGTTTAATTGTAGTTAAAATGTTTTTGATTGTGTTGGATACAAAATATGTTCGTATTCAATAGTATAACAATAAATAAATTAATTAAAGCGAATTTAACCGGAACATCAAAGCGGCGCTTTTCAAGCGCCCATTTCCATTTATTTCGTACGAAATTTTTCAAATATTAACGTTCGCATGTCTACAGTCAACTTTTTAACAACGAACATACTTTCATGTCTATATAATCGCAAAGAAATTAGGGGTACATCTATATTTATATCCACTTTGCTTTAATAAATCATAAGACAATCGAATTCCTAGATTTTACCCTTCAGTCTGTCGTTCAAATATTTAGGGAGAAATACGCGCTATAACACAACATTCGTATACCTACGTTCCCCAACTTAAGCATCGTATTTTATCGTTATATTGAGGAATTACTCCTGTTTTTTTCTTTGATGATATTTGACGTCGTAACCCGGTTAAATTTGATTGCTTTTGCTTTCCTAAATTCACAATCACATTTCCTCACAAAATTATACATTACCCGCACACATGGAATAATTCAGTAACTTTAGAAGAAAATACGATTCATCAAAAAAATATTATTCTTGTCTCTAGTTAGGATTATTCATGTTTTTTTTCCTTCCTTATTAGGATAACAGGCTTAGTTTTGTTTGAACAGCGTTACCGCAAAGAAACTGCTGTTTACTTTAAATTATTCTAGTTGTATTTACCGATGAATTCTACTTTTGAGTAATTGGTAACAGCGGTCGTTATTTTTGTAAACTAAAACTTATATTTCGCAATATTCTACAATTTATTCCTTATAAAAAGCATATATAAAGTATTTGCGGAATCTGTAGGAAGATTTTCTAATTAAACTTATGCAGTACCAAGTTAAATGTAATAAATCCAATACGCTAGTGGCGGTAAACTTCTCTTGCTCGCTAAATTACAATTCTTTTAACATGCTCATTCAAATATTAATATCCAAAGGAAATGAGGTTCTAATTAAGCTCGAATCCAGAATAAGAGATAAGTTCTCTCTAACTCGATCCGATTCAGATACGAACGAATTTCAATCCTCCGCCGTACCGGAATTTCTATCTGAAACCCGGTTTTGGTTGCCGGAACGAGAAGGAAGACGCACGGGAAATTATAGATTAGGTGATATATTGCTTTTTGAAATTAAATCATGATAATTTACGACAATAAATTTTAGCGCGATAAAAATTAATGAATTAATGAATATCTAATTAATAATGAATTTTAGTTTGGTAAAAATTAACCCTATTCCTACTATTAATTTGTTGATAGATAAATATTGTGTGTGGGTATAAAAAATCTCTGTATTAACTAAATAAATACAAAGCAATTTTAGATATTAATTATGTGTGAAATTAAACAGTGTATAAATTTACCGTTTTTAATAAAAGTTTAATCCTCCCTTCCGGTATCGTCCTTCAACTTAACCTTTCTAATTCGATTATTCGGTTAGTCGCGTAATCGCGTTTTCTTCGGCACGTTTCGCCTCGCCCTTGGCGTATTCCAGATATCGCGAAACGTTACATTGTGTAAGTTAAAACCGAGATATCTTAGCGGAACAAGCCGATAAACAACGGGTACGACATCTAATTGAATACTTAATATCAGCGCGGCGGCATTGTTGTGAGTAAGCAGAGATAAGCTATATTCGTAATATTCGGATGGTATTGAGTGCATCGAGTTGTGGAGATAATATAAACGGGAATTCGCCTGGATGCGGAACACTTACCGCGGATATTTGACAGATATACGCATAAAAGGGGACTGATTAACATTCATGAGGGTATTATATGCGATCTGATCGTTTAATTATGTCATTATTGGCGTAGTGAATTATAAATGCTATCAGCATCGTCCGTTCCGTATTATATGATTCTTAATCGCTTATTTTCGATAAAATTTTTAACACCGAACGATGCTAATTTTAGCTGCTTTATTGCTGGCAAGTATCGATTATTGATTATGGCGTTTCTTTTGCAGATGGTAACCAGGACGAAAAAAATATTTGTAGGCGGTTTATCCGCACCGACAACGCTAGAAGACGTGAAAAGTTACTTCGAGCAATTTGGACCGGTAAGTAATTAAAATTAATCGCGGCTTTGGAAACGGAAAAGGCAAAACCATCGGAAAAGGAAATACCTCGGCTTTTATAATTATTATTTCAGAGCCACTACCTACTTTCATATTTTATCTACGAGTAGTAAAACCTACCCTAATAACAATGCCATTAAAATATGATATAGGTATTTAAACCACAGGTTCTTACAAACAAAAAAAATATTGCTAGTTACCTAACAATAAAATCTCAAAATTAATTCATTTATATAACGTAAATATTTTATGAACATTCCTAGGCTTCTCATAAAAATTGCAGCATTCAATTTTAATCCTTTGCGCTCCGGCATTGCCCATTGTAGGCACAGCTGCATATCAAGTAAGCAAAATAGTCCTGTCGCAGCAGTGACAGTGAATTTAAAGTTCGCAATTTAAATGTGGCATTATCGGCGACAACAGGATAGAAACAGTTAAATTATTCATTCGAATGGACAAGTTCATGTTCCATTATTTCCGAAAAAGTTTTCGATACGCCCATGATGGCTCCGTTAACGCATTGCATCAACCTTTCCTGATAATTATTCATGGTTTATAAAAAATTAATTATAAGTAAGCCCTTTAATAAACCAGGGTTTAGTTGGCTAAACATTAGGAAAAAAAGCCGTAATTCTAGAATTTTGATTCAGTTCACGTTGGAAATGGTAAACTGCGAAAGAGGATTTCATGAAAAATTTATCGGCGTTCTATTATGAGGATCTTCTTTAGAAGCAGGATTTAAAAAACATGTTTGTTTAAACTCGTGCGTTATGTATTCATCCGGGTTGTTTTCAAATTTTCAGATTTTTTTATGGAGAAGTAACTGATTTAAAAATTCCTATGCGACTCTGAAATAATGAGAGCTAAAATTTTCGAAGTTGCTCTGGGCGATTTGAATTTCAATTTACAAGAAGGATACACAAGTAATTGAAAGTTGTTTCTCTAGATCAAACTGGCCAACCTCACTGCGAAAGACCCTCAAAACTTTCACCCTTACGGAAGACTCGCATTCGACGAATATTCGAAACGTGCGAGTATCTAGCCCCGTATTGGATGCTTTTACTGGAAAGGGATAAGGGTTGAAAGTTTTGTATCCAAATTCCGATGAGTTTTCCCTTTTCGTTTTAGAACTTTTAAGGGCTGGTTTGTTTTATTATTGCGTTCGACGTCTTTTACGACATTGTGGACCGTCGTCATAGAAAAATTTGATTTTATTCCAATATATTGTATTATTGATATTTCGAAAGTTTGCAAAGCATTTAAAAAAGTTTTAGACCGCTCACGATTTTACAACGTACGCAATACATAAATAATCTTTTTATAATCTTTTCATCTTAAATGCAAGATGAAATAAAAAATGATTTACAGAAGAAAAAATTAATTAAACATCAAATACCTCGTTCAATTACAAGCTAAGCACCCCATGTAAGAATCAGGGGGATAATCCTTGCTGGTATTTTATCCGACATTTCAGTATGAAAAACCATTTTTCTATCCGTAATCGTATTATTCAGTTGGAATTATTTGTACTGCATTCGACGTTTTCTTTCTGTTCGAACGAAATCGAGCAAAGAAAAATTACCAGTCGATTGAAAAACAATTTAACCAAGATCGAACGTCCCGATGAGTATCTTCGATTGAAAATCTATTTAATTGTCTCGTCCTTTGAAGTCCGAAGACAAAAGGAGGTTTTTAATATAAATCGAATCGTCATTAACAGTTAATGGCGGTGATAAAAGGGAACGTTTTGTCATTGTGTTACGTACACTAAGGAACGTTACGTATTTATAATACCGTTAACGTTAAGATATATTTTGGAAATTATCAGAGTTCAGTTTCATAAAATAATGCAGTTGGGTTTAAAAGTTGTGTAATTACAATTTTTTTTGAATATTTCGAGTTTATAAAGATGGGTTTACTATTAATATCTACTATATAATATTAGTTCGATATTGGATGAGACAGTCGAGCGAAACTTTGTTCATCCTCTGGAAAACCTTCAATAAAACCCTTGCACAAAGGGACGGGAATAACTTTCCAAAACCCTCACCTACCGTACTCGTAAATTTTAAACAGCCGGAACTATAAAAGTAAAAGATTAAAATATCAATTTAGAGTGCTGTTAAAGCGAGAGCCCCGTTCGAACGTAAATTTATCAATTACGGAGCTTCTGGTTACAGAAACTGTACAATGTACTGCGGTAATAAGTAAATTAAGAGGGACCGCTGGCATAAATAAGGGCTCTTGCGGGCCCATTATGGGCAGAAATCGCGTCTGGTGCTCGCCGATACCGAACCATTAAATCTTTTACCAATAAAAATAGACTTCGTTCTCGTCGAATGCATGCGAGCAATGTGTATTGCTTCGGATTAACCGTTTGGACCACGAAAAAACTAAATTATTGCATTGCGATTAAAAGCATTTCGCGCAAATCTTATTGAAAATACGGGGGTTAAGTTTCTATACAATTTCAATAGAGCATTATCGATTTCTCGATGCACGGTGATTTAGCTACGAACGTTTTTAATTTACGATTGTTTTAACCGAATTTATGGGAGCATAGGTAACTTTACCGAGCGGGTATTTTGAGATCTGCTGAAGTTGCTTATTAAATGGATCTCTGGGCAGCTGATTCATACTCGTAAATTTCCTGGAACAGCGTCTCTTTGACCGGAGTACATTGATTGTCACATCAGATAGAAAAATAATTGGATGCAAGCGTTTCCAGCAGATATTCGTCGGACGGGTAGAGTGGCTGTCGAAGTTTTGTAGTCAAAGTTTTATGCCACGTCACGCGCCGTCTAACTCGAGGGCTCTTGGCTCTATTTTTTTTTGTGACGAAAAATGACTCTCCACCCTAGCTGTCCGCAACGGCAAGTCTCGCATTGTTTCTACACTTAAGTGTAACTCTCGACAGCACACCGAAACTATACGCGCAGTTTTAATTATTTCTCCGGTTGCTTGAGGGATGTTTGCGCTAATTAACCTTGACGAAATTACGAAGAAAGGCTCCCTGCGTCGAGGACACTCCTAAAAATGGTCGCTGAATAATCGCGTACATGATATGTACGTGCATGACTGAGGGCGGGATTTAAAAGTCTGTTTAAGTACAAGTTTTATATCTATTAGTGGTTCGTGTGTAAAATAGCGGAAAAATTAATTATGTTATCAAAAAGTAGGCTATTTTAACAACAATGTGTTAATCACCAAGTTATGATTAATTTTAAGTTATAAAAATTAGTTATAAATAACCAAAATAACCTTTAAGAATGTTAAAAAAAACTTCTTCAGCTTCTATATGTCTAAAAGAACCACATAACATTTTGAGATGGGGTAGGAAAATTCCTAAAGGAAATTCCCAAGCATCTAAGGACTTCTCTTTATTGTTTATTACATAGGGAAATTGCACTTGAGAATGGGCAAGATTATAAAAAAGCTGCTAATTAACATACTTTCCTTTTGTGGATGCAAAATGTGTGATTAGTTATTGCAAATTGTTACGGTACTTTTATCGTTATTATGGCGTAATTCTTCACTTTTGAACTTTGGCAGTTAAGTTATTATAGCATTTAGTCATAATCGTCACGAAATCAATCAGAAAGCGCTGGCGATTAGATTTTATAGCAACTACTAGTGGCGTTATTAATTTAAATGAGGATAATGAGCCTTGCAAGTTTTTGCGAATTTAGTAAATTTTAATAACTATATAACTTCTCTCATTAAACATAAAATTTCATTATTACCTGGTAAATTGCAGATTGCTGTTTGATGTAGTATAGGATTATTTTGCAGTTTTTGCGATGCAGTAAAATTTTTTACACAATTTTGCACAAAATAATTTTAACCCACGGTATAACAGAAAGTGCTTAATAAAAAAATTAGATATATTTTCAATGCGCCTGTTGTGTTTGTTAAGGAACGTGAGGAAATGCGTAGACCTCCCAAAAGCATAAAGAATCTCATTTAAAAATAAATCACTCGCAAAAAATAATAACGCACAGAAAATTCATATTCGTTGGAAAAATATCAAAAGACAATTCTCTTTTTATTACTTTTCTCTTTATGGGTTTACGAGTCGCACACGCACGCAAGACATAAAATCTCGAAAAGAAAAGAGAGAAAAAAAGCAAAACCGATAGAGGATCATCTCGACAAGACCTTAAGGTGGTTTTTATAAAATCTTAGCACATTTGGAATGCCGCGACGTAGCCCGAGGATTTACGGAAGGTGCTTTATACCGACGATAAATACGGGATAAAAGATTTAATGGAACCATGTAATTACTTTTTATTTTGATTTTATTAACAATTTGAATTTTAACGACATTTCTGTGCAGGGCGGTAATTTAAAAATTCTTCACTTTATCGCTTCATGGGACTTGCGCGCAGCACAGTCGCCTTACCTTATTTAATAAATGAACGTTTGAGTTTAATTGAACACTAAAACTCAAAACTAATTTATTATTTTACAAGCGCAAAGTATTGAAATTAATTTATAATTAGTTCACATAGGTATATGAACAATTCGATCTAATTGAATTTAATTTCGTTGCAATGTCCGTATTAAAATTATAAATCTCATTTGTGGAATTAATTAATTGGATGGCTAACAAAATAATTTTTTGTTTCCAAACGCTGTTGAATCTGCCGCAGACATTCACGGAACAAATTGCGCGTATAGATTTTAGTTGCAATTCGTTTTTATATCGCGGCATCAATTTTTCTTTATAGTCGGTTTCGATAAAACTTTCAGTGTCACTTACAATAACCGAAACTTCTCTATTATTATTTTAGAGTAGAGCAAAAGGAGAACTAGGAGACGGAGCTAATACATTGCCATTAGGTCCATCAAAACTTTTTTATGAAGCCAATTCGATCAAATAACTTCCAGCTTTATTATTTGCCAATGCAATAATTTATTGTTCGTCGAAGTTTTTGAAAAGTTTTCGGCGAACAACACTGATTAAAAGTTGTACTCGGTTT